TCCTAAATTTTTATTTTCATTAATAATATTTACTATTTAGAAAAATCTTAATATCCAAAATCGCCATGTGGCTCATGATACCGTCTCTTCTAGATGATCCGTCTTAAGTGGCGCATGATACAAATCTCTTCTTCTATTAATTTTTTATTCAATTTTTTTTTATGGTACATAATAGAATGTACGATTAGTGTATACCGATCTAACCCTGACTTGGTTAGATCGAACGGCTGAAAATTAGTGTGCTTTTTTTTCTAGAGAAAATACCACTTAAATAGCCTCTCGTCACGCACGACAAACAAATGAAACAGCCTCTCGTCCACAATTCTAAACCCTAGTTCCCCTTTTTCTCTTCCATCGAAACCAAAATTTCCTGTTAAACCATGACAACAGAATCCAGCAGTAAGATCTCTATCTCACGCTCGAAATTGTGTATTGCAAATACGTTACGTGTTTTGATCCGTTTACCGTGTTCGATTCGTATAGATCTGTTGTTTTGCATCGTATTCGATTCGTAGTTCTCCTTGTATAGATATGTTGTTTTTGCCTCTGGTTCTGTAACATTCTCCTAGGTTTCGATTAGATGTTGAAGTATCAAACCCTAATTTACTTTTCCTCTCTAATTTTCTCGATCGAACCAACAGTTAGATTTTTTCTGATCGATCTGTCATGGTAAAGTAGCTTAATCATTATTAATTGGTTAATTGATCTAATCAGTTGTATTCAATATCTGATTGCTTTTCTCTTTGTCAAATTTTGCATTTTGTAATTGTTAATTGCATTCTCTGTTTCGTGAAACTATATGCAGTTGCTAAGACTGGAATATTCTGGAACATCGAGGACTGCCCAATCCCCGAAGGTCTCAATCCTCGAAACATTTTAGAGAATATCAAATCATCTCTTACGAATGAGGGTTATGTTCATGGTGAGGTTTCAGTCCGGGCTTATTGTGAGAAGAAGAATTGGAGCTTTGATGATTTGTCCCTTGCCGATATCACCTTTGAACACGCACACGCAGGTAGGTGAAATTCCTTCAGTTTACAGTATATTCTCTGTAACTTATCTGTATGTAATCTAGATCTCCTTTTATATGTGGTTTCAGGAAATCATCTTAAGAGATTTAGGAAAATTTTAGAGGACATTCTTTTCTTCACGGTGCAAAATCGCGTGCGTTACCCCCAAACAATACACAAGATTGTGCTGATCTCAAAAATCCCACAAGACGATGAGATCGCTACTATTCTTCAAGTTTTGGTTACGGCAGGTTACATTGTTCTATTAGCTGTGCCTGATGCACTCGAATATGTAAGCTCTGTATGGCTTTGGCCAAGCCTAACAGTTAAAGTGAACCCTATCCACCAAAGTGGAAGCTCACTATTGGAAGGTGTTGCCAGTAAGGGGAAGAAAATCCATGGTAAACCAACTGATTTAATTCTCTGTCATAGTTACTTAATGGTTTTAATTTCTCTAATCAATTGTATACACTATTAC